TTTTTTTTAATAAATGCATTAGATCTAGTGATGTATCCACAACTACCATAATGTCCAAGCAGTGATTCAGATAAATGTTATTTAAAGATGTCTAATTCAATTATCTAGTAGGCAACAACTACAGTGTCATATAAAAACATCTCTGGTTTCTATCTAGAAGTAGACATCAGGTACTGCTAACATTACACTAGTTTGTTGCCTACGTTTCAAATGGAAGAAAATGCTAAATTTCAGTTAAACGTTAGTGAAAATACTGATTTTTCCCCATGAAATTTCACTAATTTTCTTGGTATTCTGTGGACCCCAGATAAAAACTTTCTGGACAAGAATATACAGCCTAAGAAAACAGGATTCTAGGTGGAGAGAGAAGATATTGGATCAGTGAAACGGATGACCAATGACTAGACAAGAAGCGGCTGGCTCCTCAGGGAAGTCCTTGGGTGAGTAAGAGTTTTCTAATCAATGGAGATAGAGCTATGGGTTTCCAAGGCAAATTTTCTATACATCCGCAGTGTGAAGGCAGTAACCTTTTTCTCAGAACTTAGGTGTCGGAGGTCAGTTATTGTCAAAGCCCAGGGAATACGGACCAGAACCCTAAAGGCCAAGAGTTTGGGGAAAAATCTTCTTCCTGAGACACACACTATGAAGATGTTCCATTCTCCTTCCAATTCAGAATGTGGACACCAGTCTTCTCTTAGATTCAGACTATGGGACTGATCCTCCTCCTCCTCCCTCAGAATCAATTGCAAGGTCCATATCTCCTCCTCTACTCACGGCCTATGGGACCAGACTTGTCTTGCATTCATCAACCTGGTGCATCCCACACTCATTTCTTGCTAAAATTTGTGGGAAAGTCTTCAAGAAAGGTTACAGGGTAGAAAGGCAGCTGCTCTGTGGCTCAGTACAAAGCTTATGAATTCTGATTTTGAAGTCAGATAGGCTGAGGGCAGTCTCATTATTGTTTAGGGGCTTGGTGGTTCAAGTTCAATGATCTCAGCTGCTCATCTTTAAGAATTTCATTTCTTTCTCCTGTTTAATACCATGAACAAGTAATTTTTGTCTCCCTTTCCTGGAGGAAAAACCTAAATTTTAGAGAGATAAGTGACATGGTTATCCGGGATATATCAGAAAGTTTAAACAGTCAGAAAAAAAATAATCAGTAAGAATATTCATTTATTTCCTAAATAATTAAAAATTAATAAAATAAAAACTATGTATGTTTTAAGACATTTTAACAAAAAAAAAAAGACTTAAAAAAAACCCCTGAAAACTTGATAAAGATTAATTCCTGCCACTCATGATTTCCTGTAGCATTTTGTATTTTTGTAAGTTCTGTGTAATATTTTAAGAAATGTTAAAATACCTCTTTTCAACAGGAAAAAAATCAAATAATTTCTTAAATCTTGCTAGCTAATTTATGATATGTATTTAATCTAAGGAGTCAAATATATCATCTTGAGGTGTTATTAATATAGTAAATTATATAAATTAAATTGTTGATAGGTAAAGTTGGCTTTTCTTTACTGCATGTTTTTCATATTTTTATCTGAGAAAACAATTACTTTGATGGATGTTCTTTACCGCAAATTAGTTCTTTCACTTTAATTTTAAAATATAAACTTATGAACAGGGCTTGTAAACCACTTTAGGGAAAATAAGTTAATTAAGATTTTTGATTAGAGAGGCTAGAAGTTGTTCTGCTTCCATCGTGTGTCTGAATTTATGTTCTCATAACAGAAATAAATGGAATCAAATTGCTCTTGTAGGTTTTGCATTAGCCTGGAATGACCTGGATACCATGAGTAATAAGAAATTCTGGTGGCTGCCATACAAGAAGCCGATGACTGTTTTTAGTGTGATTGCAAAGATGAGAAAATAGACCACAAGTAGTAATTAGA